ATATATATATAAACTCTGAGTAATTAGCGCCCGACATAGATTAAAAAATAAAGATCAACCTGGATAATTACTTGCATACAGGTAACATGCATAAAACCACGTGAGTACAATTATGTCACAACGCGAATAATATATTATTACAGTAATTACTTTTATTAATACAATAATACTATAACTCTCATTTTCGCACGCGCGCTATAAAATTCGAATTTGTTTTATTTTGATCTCGCGCTGCTTCAAATTAAAAACTTGTCAAAGAAAAACTTCCAACAATGTAATCACCAGGCGAAAAAATCGTTTGACGTTTTAATGTATAATTTTTGTTCTTAAAGAAAATTTATTTAAATTTCCAAACACAGTGTCTTCACGTTAATGAAATATCTAATTTAATTTTGATTCATTATTGAATCAAAACACGATTGAAACCACCACTCAACGGTACGATTCTGTGACCTCTATATTTCCATTAAATTCTGCTACAAACACGCGCCTTTCTTTTCTAAAGAACGAGCATCTATAAGCGAAGCGTTTTAACACGCGTTCTTATAAACTGCTCTTTGTGTATATCAAAACTCAAACGACGCTAGTCGTTGGCTATTCGGATAGCGGTCCGTGATTATCGCGCGTTAACCAATACACGGACCTCGTCGTCGTACCTCCACGACATCGATAATAATTCCTGCTCCGTGTCGAAAGGCGCGCACTGGTGTCAGTTCGACCACGGTTTGCGTCGGTCTCGGTTGTGCATTCGCTCTCAGGCACCTTCTCTTTGTGATTAAAGTAATTTTTGTTCGCGCCAAAAAACGATGAAAGACACGACGGACGAGAACCAAGGTACGTTCTGGAGATTGGATAAAAAATCGACGAGAATAAAAGAAAAACAAATAATTAGAATCAAATTTAAAAAAATTAACTTTTCGCCAAATTTTATGCTATTGACAAAAACTTTCTCGGACATTCACAGAATATCTTGAAGTTTAAATTCTTAGATTAAATTCATAACGAAAATTTCTAACAAAGAAGTTATTGTAAGAAAAAACTAACTCTTCAGCGGTTTCTAAAGCTCCGTTTACACAGACAACGAATCAACGTATCCGCTTCCGTTGATACTCACGATGACACAGCAGTTGTCAAACAATAAAGCATACGGTATGAAAAATTTTGAGCGAATAAATTTGTTGTTGCACAACGCGCGATTCCAATGGACATCTACAAAAAATAAAATTAAGAATATGTAAGCGATAACAAATGGTATTTGTGTGTCCACACGTTTTTTTTAATAATAATAATAATATTATCTCACGAGTGTTTCGTCGCTTTAACGACGATCCGTTTGGAAATAAAGTGCGCCGCGCGCACTTTGTTCTTTTTGCAAATTTAAATCGCGACACATCGGTTGTGTCCGTCAAAAAGTGCATCGCGCGATACAAAATTGCAACGCAAATCGAAACGTGAACTAGTACACGTTGCGTTGCACGTCGTAATGTTGCACTTATAATGCGCACTGTTCGCCACGTGCGCGCGAGCGACGCTATTTTTGTTCGGCAGAAATTTTCAACAGAAGAAAATTCGGCTCGCGTGCGTCGCGTCGCGCTGATGCGACAAACATATGTTATATATATATATATATTACGTACATACACATATACCTGTCATCATCCGATATTTTTACGACGATGAGAATCGCAAAACAAAGCCAATATGCATATGCAAATGAGATCCAAAGAGCAAATTCCGCTGATAATTTCTTGGACTACTGTTTGTTTTACCTTCGCTCTGTCTCTGCGCCGCGACATTCCGCGCATTCGGAATGAAATCATTGTTTGGCTTGAAAAGAGGCCACATATGAAGCGATACAGATCAAACTTGTTGTCACCTAAAAAAAAAAAAAAGCCATCAAGATAAAGCAAAGCGCAAAGAAAATATGTATTAGGTCTACTGGAAAGTTCTGTCCGTTTTTGGAATAAAACAAAATACAAATTTTTCTTACCGTCAATAAAATTTTATTAAATAATATAATTGCTATTATTATTAATGATTTCTCTTGCCAGCGTGAGGGCAATTTGTACATCCCATTTTTGAAAAATTTAAGAAAAATTTGTATTTTGTTTTATTCCAAAAACGGACAGAACTTTCCGGTAGACCTATAATATTTCAAATATGTATGTGGCAGTGTTTGAAAACTCACACGTATAGATTTTCGTTAGTACTGCCAGTAACAAACGGAATGTGTACTCAGATAGCCAAATATGTGAAAACTCAATATAAAGCAAATCATTGTATAGATTAAGTTGCTCGCCAATTGCTGTTGTATTGTTTTTATTTAACGCAACAAAAATGTTTTTGTCAATTCGGTATCTCAATATGATGAGTTTTATTATCAGTCAATTGTTGTAGCCAATGTTTGTGACAAGTGAGTCGGCAATATGCGAGCAATATATGAGCAATAATTTTTATTCATAAGTTGAGAAAAATAATATAAAATTAAATAAACGGCTCGATGGAAAA